GGGGGGGGGGGGGGGGGGGGGGGTACCTAGGTACCTAGGTGTGCGGGACAACTTTTCCCGCGTACCCTTGCTGCAGCAGTAGTTTGCGTTGTGCAGGTGAAATCCGCAAGAGCCAGGGTGCCATTTCACAGATAGATACCGCAGCTGCGGCAAAATAATGATCGCATTTGTAGCCTGTCAAAATATTAGTACAAGGGAACGCGAGAGCAAGAAATGATTAGACCTGTGGATGTCGGAGCATTATCAAAGTTTCGGGCCATGGGTAATCGTCTCATCAAGAGAAACTATGCTAGTTGGTTTGTGGGGAAGAGGATGCATGGTTGACTGCCAATGGCCAAATAGGATCGCCCTCCCGATCTGACAGCTGGTAATAGCTCAATCTGCGTCGAGGAAGGCCTACCCGCAAGCACTTGCGGTTGATCGCCTGCGACGGTTGAAGGCCAACATAAAATAACGGCATCGCCAACCTCTGGACAAGCCTGCCTGTTATGGGACTCATTCCAGCATGACTTCGCCCAAAAAATGTAACATGTAGGATACCTCCTGCAGGTTTTATCCAGATACTACTCTAGGCATAGCAAGGAACATCCAACGCCTTTCTGGGGACGAACACTCGACAGGCAGCACACGTGCCGAAGTGCCGCTATCAGCTACATCGTAGTTGCACACTTTTCTGGGTTAAGGTTATGCATGCTGGGGGCGGAGCGAAAGATTCCAATGCCCCCGAAACAACCCCTCGATTCTCCATTGCCCCCACGCGTTTTCCTCTCGTCGTCTTTGCGGGGTTTTGCCTCGCGCCAGCACAAAAACAGAGACAACACCGCGCCACACAGCAAGCTCTTCAAACGTTTCGACACACGGGGTAACCGGGTCAACTCTATGAAGAAACAGTCAGTACACACGATACCTGCAATACCGCTATTACTACTACTGTGGGTCGTCCGATCGACACTCGACTCTCCGTTGCCGCCAAGCCGGCAACAGCCCGCAGCGACGTAGCATGCTCCAAGCAAGAGCCCAACACACTACAAGAGGCAAGAAGACCCATCAGCCCCCTCCATGACGGTACTGCTGTTCGTCACCAACGCAACAAGGTGAAACAAAGTCTCAAAACACCGCAGTACTGCTGCCCCGCAACCATCGTATCTTCGCCCATCCATCAAGTCAGTGATCTCATGCTAGACCATTGCCTCCCCCTCCCCCCTCCCACTCACTCGTGGCCTTGGCCTTGCTTCCGTTTGCCGCACAACCACGGCAACTCCAACAACCAGCCTCGAGCCCCAACACACCGTGCCCACAAAAGGACACACACCAACAACGGTAACGACATTCGACTTGTAATGAAACGAGGCCCTACCAATCAAAACGCCAAACGGAACAAGCCGGCACCATCGACCCGAAACAGCACATCAGTTCTTGCTGCGAGAGTCTGCGAGCGCGGCCGCCCCAGCCTTGTCTCCCCTGCTGACCAGGTCGTAGTATTCTACAAAGGAGGCAAAGTCCTTGCTGCCGAGCGCAAGCTTGGGCCGTCCGATCATCGCCGCCATCAGCGACCGAATCTTCGCAGCGGGACGGGGCGAGACAAGCAGGGTGTTGAATCGCGGGCACCACGAAGAGGGTGGGGGGTTAGAGGGTATGTGGGGAGGTGGGGGAGCAACAAGCAGCCCAAGAGCTACGGTGCGACCAGCACAATCAGCCGCACCACACCGAGTGGTTCAAGGAGTAACGAGACGCGCGAGACACGCCGTGTGAGCAGCGCACGGAGACGAGTTGGGAGAGAGCACGATCACGGGGGGCGGGAATGGACAAGCTTGGGCTGGCTATGTAGGTGGGGTGCATGCGGAGGTGTGCCGACGGTACAACCTCAACAGTACCCCAGAACTCTGGTGAGCTTTTTGTGCGATTGCCAAACCGCCCCCAGACGGCCACTTCCAGTCAGTACCAGGCCAGCTCAGACTACGTAAAACATTTGGCTTCTAACACAGATCAATACGTTTGGCTCTTGCCTCACCTCCTCTGTCCAAGCCGCTGGCGTCTGCAGCTGAGACGGACCAGGAAACTTCCGAGAAGGATCTGAGGAAACGCGACTGGTAGCCCTGATTCCACATGAAACCGTAGCCAAGCCAAGAGACCAGAAACAAAGAGAGAGAGAGGAAAGGGAGGGGGGGGGGGGGGGAGGGCATACTC